CTTAAAAAAATAAAAATTAAGGGCTGGTGGATGATTCAGTGGGTAAAGGCACTTACTATATAAGTCTGGAGACTAGAGTTTGATCCCTGGAACCCACATTGAAAGGTAGGAGAGAATGGACGCTACAAAGGTGACCTCTGACCTCCACATGCATCCCCCACCACATCAGGTACACACACTCATACATAATAACAATAATAAATAAAGATTAAGTAGCTGGAACCCCAGCTGCTCAGGAGGCTGAGGCAGGAGGATCACAAGATTGGAACTAGCTTAGGCAGTTTAGTGATAAAAATTTTTATAAATTTTATTATTTATTTATTTATTATTTATTTTTGTGTGTGTATGAGTGTATTACCTGCAATGTATGTAAGCACATCCGTGTCGTACAAAGCCCACAGAGGCCAGAAGATGGTTATATATCCCCTGGAACTGGAGTTACGGACTGTTGTTAGCCACCACGTGGGTGCTGGGACTCAAACCCTGGTCCTCTGCAAGAGCGGCCAGTGCTCTTAATCACTGAGCCATCTCTCCAGCACCCCACCCTCTGTGTCAAAATTTTTAAAAGGTAAATAAAGTGCTGGGGGTGTAACTGAGTGGTAGTAGAATCCTGCTTAGCATGCACAAGGTCCTGGATTCCATCTTTAGCACCAGGTTAGAGGAACAAAGTGGGTCTCTCTAGGGGACACCCTATGTCTCAAATAATCATCTGTCTCCAAGAATATAAATGGGGAACCCAGCAATAAGAATTATTGAGTGGCAAGGGGCATGAAATCATCTTCTAAAAATTATATCTTCTAGGATGATTACATGAGTGTAACCATGTAACAATTCTTTATTTTATAAACCTTTTTTTTTAAACATTAAAAACTTATTTTGTGAGGATCTGGAGAGATGACTCAGGGATTAAGAGTGCATGCCTACTGCTCTTGAAGGGACCTGAGTTCGATTCCTTGCACTCACATCTGGTGGCTTACAACCAACTCCATGGGGATTTGAGGCCTCTGGTCTCTATGGGCAACTGCACTCAGGTGTGTGTGTGTGCACCTGTACATTAAAGTGCACACATATGAACATGCTACAAGAGCATACGTGGAGGTCAGAGGACATCCTGTGAGAATTGTCTCTCTCCTGAGACAGGGTCATCCTGTAGACCCAGCTGGCCTGGAACTCATTATGTAGACTAGGCTGGCCTCTATCTCACAAAGATCTGCTTACCTGTGCCTCTCATGTGCTGGGATTAAGGGCGTGTGCCACCACACTCAACTCAGTCTATAACTTTAACATTAGTATACTTTGAACGTTTTACTACATTGGAAAAAATCTTTAATGGTTTTTTTTATTGCTCTTAGGGTAAAGTCCTAAATCTTTTTTTATAGTTTATAAGTCTGAACAGTCTGCCTCCTGTCTGTCTACATCTCCTGCTTCATCTCCCTAGAACCAGGCCCTCTAGCACCAGGCAAACTGTTCAACCCACCACAGGGCCTTTGCACAAACTGTTCACTCTTTGTCACACCTCTTCATTCAAGTAACCATTATTCTTCAGGTTGCATGATAAACCTCCTCCACGTCTAGATCAGGCCCTTATTAAATGCTGTTGTTTGTCTCACTGCAATTACTGTACAAACTCCAGGAAGTTGTCAACCAAGCCTGTCTTGTTTGCTGTTTTATCTTAAAATGACTGTTACATAGCAAATACTTATTTAATGTTCTCCAAACATGAAATTTGAAAGCAAGGCTCTGATTAATTTACCAAACTAGTAGGTCAAGTTCACAAAATATAAGCGAAGATGCCAACCCATTAGCATACACTGCTGCCCCACTCTCCACGATGCATTCCCAAACCACCCACTGTCCACATCTCCTTGTAGCAGCAAATTCTGCCCAGTCTCTTGGCTTATATACCCTTTATTCACTGTCCACTGGATGAGGGTGACACAGCAAGACATGGGTACTTAACATAGTAAAATCAATACACCTATTTCAATTCCTGCTGAGTGAGAAAATGCTAAATGTGGGGAAGGGAGCAGGGAACAAATCTGAGTAAGGCATGGGATTTGTGTCTGTTTTTGTTTGTTTGTTTGGTTTTCTTCTGTTTTGTATACAAGGTCTCACCACATAGCCCTAACTGGCCTGGCTGTATAGACCAGGCTGGTTTCAAACTCAAAGAGATCTGTCTCTGCCTCTGCCTCTGGAATGCTGGGGTTAAAGGAGTGCATATAGGCAAAACACTCATATACATAAAATAAAAATTAATTTTTTTTTTTTGGTCTTTTTGAGACAGGGTCTCCCTGTAGTCCCAGCTGACCTGAACTCACTATGTAGACTAGGCTGGCTTTGAACTCACAAGGGTCTGCGTGCCTCTGCCTCCCGAGTGCTGGGATTAAAGGCATGGGCCACCACGCTCAGCAAAAATAAAATTTAAAAAGTTAAAAATTAAATCCAGGACAGCTGGGGTTACATGGAGATCCTATCTCAAAAAGACCAAAAAAAAAAAAAAGAAAAAAAAAAAAAAAACCCAAAACAACAAAAACCAAACAAAACAAGGGGCTGGAGAGACAGCTCAGTGGTTAAGAGCACTGGCTGTTCTTGTAGAGGACCCAGGTTTGATTCCCAGCACCTACATGGCAGCTAACAACTGTTCTGTAAAGCCAGGTCCAGGAGATTTGATGCCCTCTTCTGACGTCTGTGGGCACTGCATGACACGGGTGTACTTCTATGCAAGGAATACATTCATACACATAAAAAAAGTGTTAAAAAAACAAGCTGTCATCAATCTATCATCTCTCTCTATATTATCTATCTATCTATCTATCTATCTATCTATCTATCTATCTATCAATCATCTATCATCTATCTCATCTATCATCTATCTCATCTATCATCTATCTATCTATCTATATCTATCGTCTATCTATCATTTATCTTTCTATCATCTATCCACCTATCATCTAGCTAAAGTGTGTGTGTATGTGTATGTAAGCACATGTGAAGATCACAGGACAACTTGTGAAAGTCGATTCTTTACTTCATGTGGGTTGGGTGGATCAAGTTCAGGCCATGGCAAACTCCCTTACCTGCTGAGCCATCTTGTCAGCCCCTGAACACCATTTCTTTGAAAAAAAAATTTTTTTTTTGGTCTTTTTGAGATAGGGGCTCCCTGTAGCCCCAGCTGGCCTGGAACTCACTATGTAGACCAGGCTGGCCTCAAACTCACAGAGATCCACCTGCCTCTGCCTCCCAAGTGCTGGGATTAAAGGCCTGCGCCACCATGCCTGGCCCTCTTTGAACATTTTTTCCTCCTTTTGTTTTGTTGAACAGAATGTAGTAATTTAAAAAATCTAAACATGTTGGATTAATTATTAAGGATTCATGTCATTTGGCTTTAGCATGATGACGGAGCAGGAGGATTTATCTCTGTGGAGATACAGTCTGCCATTACTTATTCTGTGCAAAAGCATCCAATTTTCAGTCAACCTTAAATAACCCATCAGCCCAATTGGCCCCACTGATTCCTGGGGTATGTGTTTTGCTGCCACACCGTCTTGATGAAGGCCAGCAATTGAGCTCCTAACACTTGGATATACAACAGTTGCCTTTTATGGAAAGAACAGTCAGCTTACTGCAGTGCCCTGAGTGATACTTCAAGTTCTGATGCTTCCCCTGGGCAGCACAGTGCACAACTGGGTAAGCAACAAACTACTGCTAATGAAGGGGCTGAGAAGTTTTAAAGATTATTTTGGGATAAAGATAAAATAATACAAAACAAATAAAAACACACACAATCTTAATTTCCCCTTCAGCGCTAAAAGGAGGCCAGCCTAGATTTCTCTGCACCAACAGAACATGAACTTGGTCTCTCAAACGGTAGGCTCTGAGCACACGTCTCTCAAACGGTAGGCTCTGAGCACACGTCTCTCAAATGGTAGGCTCTGAGCACACGTCTCTCAAATGGTAGGCTCTGGGCGCACATCTCTCAAATGGTAGGCTCTGAGCACACGTCTCTCAAATGGTAGGCTCTGGGCGCACATCTTTCCCTTCAATCAACCCCAAAGAAGGCTTTTCTTTTCTTTTTAAAAATTAAAAATTTTTTGATTCCTTTTTAAAACATTATTATTTTTATTGTATGTATATGAGTATATTGCCTACATGTATGTACGTGCACACATGGTGTGCAATGCCCATGGAAGTCAGAAGAAGGCATTGGATCCCCTGGAACTGGAGTTATGGATGGCTGTTAGCCACCATGTGGGAGTTGGGATCCAAACCTGGGTCTTCTATAAGAGCAGCCAATACTCTAATACTCTTAACTACTGAGCCATCTCTCTAGCCCTTGATTTATTTATTTTATGTGTGTAAATGTTTTGCCTGCATGTGTATAAATGCTCCCACATCATTCTGTGCCTAAGGAGGCCAGAAGAGGACGTGAGAGTTGGTGGGACTGGAGTTACAGAAGGTTGGTAGCTGCTATGCGGGTGCTGGGACTCAAACCTGGATCCTCTGTAAGAGCAGTCAGTGTTCTTAACTGCTGAGCCCTCTCTCTAGCCCCTTGTGAGTGCTTTTCACTGTGCAGGGCAGTGGAATGTTTGGGTTTGTGCTGAATCTTAATACCTGTGGGAGAAGAGATCTGAGGGGAAAGCCAGCCTGTTGTGCCACTGAAGAAGCTGATAGGGCGGACTGGGTGCAAACCTAGCTTGCCATTTGCACTGAACTGAGCAAATGCCTTGTACCTTCAGCGCCTGTTTTCTCATTTGCTAAGGAGAAACAGTACCGACCTTGTGGGACAGTTGAGAAGATTAAATCGGTTCATACTGCAGGCATGTAGAACACTCCCTGGCAAGCACTTAGCTATTGCTGCTTAATATATTTTTTTTAATTAACTGAACCATATATAGGGGTCCCACCCAGAAACACCTTTGAGGGATTGTATTTTAATGTCTTCACCTTTGCCTCTGATACTGTGTTAACGGTCTAGTCTTCCCATATTAAATCCAAGAAAATAAAGGATCTCAATCTTGTCTTTATTTTCGTGTGGTTACAATTTATAAATATACTTGCCATTTTCTTCCCCTTCCCTGAAACCTGGTAACCCTACCCAAACCCCCATTCTCACCGTCTCATTATCTTCTCCCCGAGGAGTGAGGGAGGGATGATCCTCCACATCTTCACCTAGGGTCTACCTCGGTCCATGTGGTATAAACCCTCAGGGCCTCTGAAGGTTGGGGATGAGTATCACAAAGCCTTGAGAGGTCCCGGTGATATCCTTACAAGTGACCGTGTGACCATCTTTGCCATGTTCAGGGTGCAGAGGGCCATGTGGACAGCAGCTAGAGTCATAAGCCCGGCCTGTGCCTGATGCTGAATGGCTGTAGCCCTAGGATGCAGGCAGGTTGGCAATGAAGTCTCAGGCTAGCTCACCACCTCAGCCAGTGGTGAGGGTCCTGGGGTGGACACTGTGCCCTGCTAGTGCCCAGTCCTACTCTCGAAGAGGTGTCCGAGGCCCAGTCCTTTAGGGCTCTGCCTCTTAGAGCCTACCCAGGCCTGAGTCCTGGTGGTTGGAGCAGCCTCAGGAAGAAGGTGCTCCATGCTCTCTCCTCCTTGCCTTTCCCAGATACCATCAGGCATGGGTGACAAATTGGATCCTTGGTCCTGTCAGAGGGCATGGCACCCAAGTGTCTCTGTCTCAGCCAGATGCCAAGCTTTGCCATCCTCCTGGTAGGGTGTAGAGAGCTCAGAAGGGCCAGGGGCCCCTTCTTCAGGAGTGGGGTATGGAGGCTCAGGGGGAGCTGGGGGGTCTCCAGGGCCCCGTGCTCCCCCCAGTACTGGCCCATTATATATGTAGATGTTGCCAGTGACAGTCACAGAGCCTCCGGTGACATGAATGCCGTTTGCACCTGTGGGAAGAGAGGTTGCATGAGAGGCCCTGCTTCCAGAGTCCTCTTCTCCTTTCTTCCCTGTCCCGCCTCTCATTGCTACTCCCTTCTTTGAGACATGTTCTCATGTAGCCCAGTCTGGCCTTAAACTGCTATGCAGCTGAGGATGGCCTTGAAATCCTGATCCTGCTTCCATCTCCCAAGTGCTGGATTACAAGTGTGCTCCACTACACCCCGCTTTGCTTCTGTTTTCTTAAGTTCTGAGTACATCCTTCTACTTTTGAGGTTTTCACACTCTTCCCGTCTTTCTGGTTATGGCAGTGGCTAGTTGTCAGGACCTCTGTTTTGCCTCTGTTTGGGTCTTTTTGTTTCATCTCAACTGTGCTCTTCCTCCTTGCCAACCAACCCTCCTCCCCCACCCCACCCCCATCTCCCCATACTCCCTGTGGCTTGCCCAGCTCACCATGGGCCACCTGGCCCTGTTCCCCGGGGTCAGCCTCTGGATCCCTGGCCTGGACCAGAGGGCTCTGTTGCTGTAGCACCACATCCTCCAAGACTGGAGTTATTGGGGGTCCTGAGGGTGCTGGTGACAAGTCTGCAGCCATGGGTAGAAGTGGCTCTGCCAGGTCAAGGAAATGTGGGTTGGCTCTTGGAGGGGGACAGGAGGGGGGTTCTTCTCCCTGTAGAAGAAAGACAGAGAGAACCATCCAAAGACGGACCCGGACCTCAACTCCCCTTAGGGGGTTCCCATGCCCTCCTCCTTCAGTTTTACAACTCATTGTCTGTCTCTGCTCTTCACCATGCCTCCTGCCTTAGGGCCTTTGCACTTGATGCTCCTCTAATTCCTACAGCATGTTCCTCAACAGCTCCCTGGCTATCTCCTTCGGTTCTCTGCTCACACAATCAGTGTAACAGAGATGCCCGTTCTAAAGAACCTACCCCGTCCTTTGCTGTCCTCACCGTCCCCCTTCTCTCCTTTATTATAGTTACCACAGGATACATATTTGTTATATGAGAGAGAGAGAGAGAGAGAGAGAGAGAGAGAGAGAGAGAGAGAGAGACTCTGTAGAAGCCATGGGTAGAAGTGGCTCTGCCAGGTCAAGGAAATGTGGGTTGGCTCTTGGAGGGGGACAGGAGGGGGGTTCTTCTCCCTGTAGAAGAAAGACAGAGAGAACCATCCAAAGACGGACCGGACCTCAACTCCCCTTAGGGGGTTCCCATGCCCTCCTCCTTCAGTTTTACAACTCATTGTCTGTCTCTGCTCTTCACCATGCCTCCTGCCTTAGGGCCTTTGCACTTGATGCTCCTCTAATTCCTACAGCATGTTCCTCAACAGCTCCCTGGCTATCTCCTTCAGTTCTCTGCTCACACAATCAGTGTAACAGAGATGCCCGTTCTAAAGAACCTACCCCGTCCTTTGCTGTCCTCACCGTCCCCCTTCTCTCCTTTATTATAGTTACCACAGGATACATATTTGTTATATGAGAGAGAGAGAGAGAGAGAGAGAGAGAGAGAGAGAGAGAGAGATGTGCAGGTACTTTCAGACTCTGTAGACCCAGACTAGCCTCAAACTCATGGAAATCCTTCTGCCTCAGCCATCTGAGTGCTGGGATTACAGGCTCGAGCCCCAACCCTGGCTAAAGCTATTTGGTTGGTTGGTTTGTGGTGCTGGGGAAGAAACCCAGGGGTTTGTACATGCTAGCTAAGTGCTCTAACACTGAGCTACAATCCGAACTTTTATTCTTGTTCTACTCATGCACAAACTCCGTGAGGGAAGGCACTTGGCTGTATGCCCAGTGCCTAGAAACGTGGCTGGAAGATTGTAAATGATCAGTGGAACGAATGGGGGCTGAAGCCTGCCCTCCTTCCTTACCTCCCCTCCCCTCCCCTCCCCTCCTTCCTTACCTCCCCTCCCCTCCTTCCCGGCTTCTCAGCCTCCATTACCTCTGGATGCTTCTTGAGCAGAGTGCCTGAAATGGAATACAAAATGAGTTGAAGGCCTCCAACTCCCAACCTTTCGACCTCCACCAGACCACCACGTGTTGCTGCCCACCCTGGGGTTCCGGAAGGATATGATATTGTTACCGTCATCCCTAGCCTTCAGATGAGGACTGTGTGAGAGAGTGATAACCAAGTCGGGGGCAGACGCTAAGAGCTTGTGGATGGGGAGGAGGTATGAAGGTTTGCTCTTGAATATCCCTCCCCTCCACTGCCACCTCCATGTGGGGACAGTGGGCAGTGCCTCCTTCCTACCCAGCTTTCTGCAGAGAGAGGGATGCCTCATCCAGGCACAGGCCAGGATGGTAGTGAAGAGCAGGAAGACGACCAGGGGCAGCAGGATGGCCATCAGCAACATTGTTCCTGTAAGGATGAGAGGTGTGACACCAAAGGACAGTGAGGGAGAGAGCTAAGCAGGAACAGTTCACTTCCCCCAGGACACAGGGAAAAAGGACAGCCTTTTCCCTCTGGCTGCACAGCAGAATTGGGGCCAGTTCCCTTGGGCTGTGGACTGGGGGATAAGGTTGGCCTTGGGGAGAATCTCTTGACTGCACAAGGATTGTGTTCTGGGTGGTGATGCCTGGGGTGGGGCTGGTGTCCAGCTGCTCAGGGCCTAGGACAAGGCAGTTCATGGGTGAGGGGTGTGAGCTTGGGTTTCTGGTTTTCAAGGCTGGATGTGGGTGGGAGGGGGAAGGTGGAATTGGGCTGTAAGGAGAGAGCCTTGTTTCTGTGACTGGCCATTATATAGAGGGGCCACTGGAGAGGAACTGGGATTGCCCCTGTGTGGTTGTAGGAACCTCACTTCTGAGCCTGGTCTATGGCCTCCAGGATTTGCAAGCTGCCCACCTCCTTGCTCATAACAGGACCCAGGCGGGAAAGAGACAGGGAGGTGGGAGTTTGGTTTCCCAGGCTTGCCCACTGATCCACCTAAGGTTGTGCTCTAAAGGAGTACAGAATGCAAGCATGGTGCAAGGTGGACCAGGAGTCTGGTACTGGATCTCTGGCTTTAAGCCAGTTCACCTAGTTGAGCATCAGTCTGTCACACAGAAAAAAAGCAGGTTAGCAGAGCTACTGTCTAAAATTCTAGCTCTAAAATGCCAGTGTATTTGATACATAGTTGAAGGTGAAAAAATATTTAGGATACGTTATTAATTGAAAAGCTAGGGGGCTAGAGGTACAGTTCAGTCGTAGAACATCTCCTTAGCATGTTCCAACTCTTCTCCCTCAAAAAGATGTCAGGTTATAAAATATTTAAATCAGTCTACTTTTAGTGATAAAATTTCTATGTATAGACATGCATAGGAAATGTCTGGGAGACAGACCAAAATGGTGAGAACAGATGGACTCCAAGTGATGGTTCTATGGGTGAGTTCTAGATGAATTCTCATTCTCTCTCTCTCTCTCTTCAAAGTCTCTTGCAGCCCACGCTGGCCTCAAACTCCTGCCTTTACCTCCCAAGTACTGGGATTACAGGCATGTGCCTGGCATGAATTTTCTAAAATTCTACAGCACGTGTACATTATAGAATGGGCTTTGGTAAGAAAGACCTGGATAGAGATATTAACAACACCGTTTATGACCTAGATGATCTCAGGTGAATCATTTAATCTCCTCAACCTTTAGTTTCCTCATTCTATCAGTAAGGATAACAATTCTACTTCATAGAATCATTAAGAAGATTAAACAAGATAGTTAAAGTGTAGCTGGCATGCTCTCAATACTTGGAAGCCATAATTACAAATATTTGGTCATTTGAAAAAGTTAATGTAGTCTGCCAATTAGTTATGATTATAGTCATCAGAAACAACCTGTAGTCACCCATGAGGCTGGGAAACCAATAGGTTTCCTAGAAGAAGGAAATAGGGAAAGAAGAAAACCTAGAAAGAGTCAAATGGGGGCTCATGCCTCCAACTATGAAAATCATGGGCTACTGAGGTATTCAGTGTCGTAAACTGGTTATTTGATGGAAATATATCCAAAACAATGACAAAGCCAGTTAGAATTACATCCCAGTGTAGGGGTGTTTCTTGGCATAACAGTATATGTAACTTAAAAAAGCGTGTGTATATCCAGTTCCAGGGGATCCACACCCTCTTCTGGTCTCTGTGAACACCAAACACACGTGGTGCATAGACACACAAGCAGGCAAAACACTCATATACATAAAATAAAAATAAATAAATCTTTTTGGCCAGGCATGGTGGCACATGCCTTTAATCCCAGCACTCAGGAGGCAGAGGCAGGCAGATCTCTGTGAGTTCGAGGCCAGCCTGGTCTCCATAGTAAATTCAGGCCCACTGGGCTACAGGGAGACCCTGTCTCAAAAAGACCAAAAAAAAAAAAAAAATCTTTTTGAAAAATCAAGGTGTCTGTATAAGTGAGCAAACCAGTCTAGGGATGTTCCTATTTCTTTATCTTTGTTTTTTGAGACAGCATCTCACTCTGTAGCCCACGCTGGCCTCAAACTTTTGATTCTCCTGCCTCAGCCTCCTGAGTGCTGCATTACATGGGTACACTACTAAACCATACATCCAGCTTCACACCTTTCTTTGTTTTTACTTCGGGTGGTGCTTGGGCTCAAACCCAGGGCCTTGCATGTGCCAGGCAAACACACTATCACTGAAATATACCAGGTCTTTCCAATTCTTTTGAAGGAACATTTCTTCTTTGACAATCCCAGGAAAAAGATTCGCATTTTCCCCATTTTTCTGGATGAGGATTGAGGCATTTCCCCCATATCCTGCCCCTCACTCTAGCCTCTTACCTGGCTCTGGTGGATTTCTACAGAGGGTGTCAGACTTGGGGGTACCTGGAGCTGCCTCCACCAGGCCCTGGTCCTCACATCTGTGGAGGAAACAGGACTGTGAGCCCTTCCTGTTTCCATCCACCAGTGCCCAGCTCCAGGGGCACATGGGGTTGGGGAGTGGCCAAGCGAGCCCATGGAGCCAAGGATGGAGGGGATGTCAGCAATGGGCTTCCTGGAGTGTGGGAAAAGTAGGGGTAGGGGCATTCTCACCTGGTATGAGGCTGGCAGCTGGCTCTGGAGGAGGAAGAGTTCTGGAAGTGCCCTGGCTTGCAGGGGACACAGCTGATGTCAGTATCCCCAACTTTGTCGGACACAAGAAAGGCAGGTCAGCCAGGGTGAGTGGACAAGCAAGAGCCCAACTATGGGATTCCTTTGTGCCCACCAGATGGCCTCCTGCTTACCAACCACCTCGCTCTACAGCTGTCGCCTTCCCCAAGCTTGGCTTTGCTGTGTCCCATTTAGCCAGAGCTTCCCCAGTGCTGACAGGAACCCCTTCCAACCTCCCTACATGGGTCCCAACTCATGTCTTGACCTCTCATGAGCCTTTTTCAAGGAACAAAGAGATATTTTATACCAAAAAGAACTCCAGGGTGGCTTGTTGCCATGGACTCCTTACCACAGTCCTTTCCTTTAACACCCAGCACCCTTTTGCTGCCTTCAGTAATCTCTCACCTCTACTTTTGGCTTCTGTGCCAGGTGGGCACGTTGGACGTTCTTCGCAGTGCATACATTCATTGTGCAAATAGACACAGACCGTCCCTGGCCGGCAGCGGCATTCAGGTTTGTGATAGCTGGTGCAAGGGGCAACCTCCTCAAAGCCAAGCACTGGTCGGGAGAGGAGAGTCAAAGGGGCTGTGCTGCCAAAGGTCCCCACCACCCTGGTATGTCCCCACCACCTAGATATGTCCTCATCAGGTGTGTCCCTACTCACCTGGGTCACAGGGGCGGCATAGCTGGCAGCTGAAAAGATGGTTCCAATGTTCATTGTAGGAATTTGGGGGGCAAGTCTCACAAACTGTGTCCTGGCTGCTGTTGCATTCAGCAGAGACAAACTTGCCTGTGAGGGGAGGGGATGAAGTAGGAAGGGTTATCAGGAGGCAGGGAGTCCATCCTCCGCCCTGCAGCTTGCTGCATAATCCAGAGCCTCTCCTTGGTCTCTTTGTCCCGGTTCTGCCTTCATGGCTGCCCAGCTACCCACCATGGGTCAAGCCCACCATATCTCAGTATCCGTGTGACAATGGCCAGTGCTTCTCAGTGTCTCCCTACCTGCTGGTTTTGCTGGGGGACTGCTGCTGCCCTGACCCGCCTCCATGACCCAGGCACCCTGGGGCCACTGTTCTCACCTGGAGGGCAGCGGGAGCAGCAGACCTCGTACTTGGCCTTGTAGTATTCCTTGCCTTGGTCTCTGCAGCTTTGGTTTTCCGGGCGGTATGGGGGCACCTTCCAGGGAGGCGCAGGCAGGGGGTGGGGAAGGATGAGGCAGGGGTCAGTTTGGGAGGGCAGAGGGGCTGGAAAGCAGCCTGCCCACACCCTCTCCCCCACCTGGCCCGCCCCATCGGACCCCTCCCTCACCAGCTGGGGCTGAGATGCGACCAGCAGCCCGCAGAAGCCCAGCAGGAGTGGTCCCCAGGCCAGGCCGCAGGGCGAGGAGGCCCCAAGCAGGCGCATGGCGGCCTCTAGGTCAGTTGACCAGACCCGTGTGGAGGCCGGGGAGCAAGGTGGGAAGTCCTGATGTCCTGAGCAGCGAAGGCGATGACTTCCCAAGCCCAGCGGCTGGGCCGACGTGCCCCCGGGGGGCCGGGGAGCGGCCGGGCCTGGCCTCCAGGGCTCCAGCGCGGGGCTCAGGAAGTGGGAGTGGAGAGCCGGCCGCGGGGGCGGGGACAGGGAGCTGGGAGCAGACCTGGCCTGTCGCAATCGCAACGGGGGAAGAGGAACAGGCTTGGCCGCCTCGACGCTGGGCGGGAGGGGTGGCCGGGAAAGCACGTGAGAGCAACAGGCCCGGAACCCGGCTTCCTCCCTTCCTTAGGAGGCTGACCTGGAGAGCAGGGTTGTGGATCAGAATGGCCCCGCTGGCTGGAAAGGGGCCACAGGGCCAGTGGCTAGGCCTCAGTCAGGCTCCCCTCCAAGAGTCTGGGGCCCAGCTCACCCGGGAACAGATGAATTTTGAGGCAGGGCAGTGGACAGTTGGGTGCCAGACCTGCAAAAGATCTGGGGACTGACAGGGCACCAAGCTGGAAGATCCAGAGGCAGCCAGCAGATGCAGCATCTGGCCAGTCATCCCATTTGGCAGTGCCTAATGGCCTGCCTACTCTGTGATTTTTTTTTTTTTTAAACTTATTATTGTATGAGTGTATTGCCTTCATGTATGTAAGTGTACACGTGTTGTGCAGTGCCCATGGAGGTTGGAAGAGGGTGTTGGGATTCCCTGGAACTGGAGTTATGGACGGTTGTTAGCCACCATGTGGGTGCTGGGAACCAAACCTGGGTCCTCTGCAAGAGCAGCCAGTGCTCTTAACCACTAAGCCATCTCTCCAGCCTGGACACTGACTTTTTAAGACAAACTACCATAACAAGCCACCAGCCCTCCATCCTGCTGGTCCACCCAATCCACATGCTAGGGGGAGAGTGCAGCTGACCCTGGCCCGTCCTTTGTCCTCTCCCTGTCCTGGTAATCTCTCTCACAGGGTGCCAGGGAAAGTTGTAATCTGGTGAGTGGGGACCATTGGGCTGGGGCTGGGTAACCCAACTCTAGTTTGTGTGCCCATAAGCTTATGAATCTCCTTAAATGGAAGGAGCTGAGAGCCCACCAAGTGTAGACCCCCTCACCTTCTGGAGAAGATTGGCTCAGGGTGTCAGGCAGAAAAGTTTTGGGTCCAAGGCTGCTTAGCCTAGCGTTCCCTTTCTTCCCACAATCCATAGCCCACAGACCTGTTTACAGTTGTACTGCCACCTCTGTCCCTTCTGCCCCACCACCTGGCTCTCTGGTTTCCAAGTTTCAGTCCTGGCACATTCCCACCTACTCTGGAAGATTCGCCATGGTTCCAGGAAGCATCCTTAGAAGCCCCCAAGGAAGATTGCTGTCTCCCACCACATACTACTAGTCTGCAGTCTATAAGGCTGCCCAATGGCCTGGATTGGCTCTTGAGTCTGGGCTGTCGGCACTTAACAGATCTGGTTCATGCTCCATGCCCAGAACACACTCAGGGAATAAATGAAGTGTGTCCATAGTACTTAGCCAGTCTGGCAGAACCTGCTTAAAGTTCGTGTCTGATTTCCAGGTTCCAGCTCATTCCAACATTCATGCTACTTCCTTGTGCCTCAGGGAAGTGTCCTTTGGGATGAGGAGAATTCTCTTAAGATAGGCCACTTGGGTACTGTCCTTTTCCATAGTGGGTCAGATAACCACACTGAGTTTTTGTTGAAGTATCTTTATCTATCATCTATCTATCTATCTATCTATCTATCTATCTATCTATCTATCTATCTATCTATCATCTATCTATCTATCTATCTATCTATCTATCTATCTATCATCTATCTATCTATCTATCTATCAATCATCTATCTATCATCATCTATCTATCTGTCATCTATCTTGCTATCTAGCTATCCATCATCTATCTATCTCTCTCTCTATCTTCTAGCTTATCTATCATCTATCTTAAAGTACATGAGTCTTACATAGATTGGTGGATTTTATTATAATTCCCTTCCACCCTTTCCCTGGAAGTGGAGTCTCATAGGGTTGAGAAATCTGCAAATTCTTTGTGAGCAGAGCATTGCCTTTGTTTCTTTCTCTTGTGTTTTTCGCCAGCTTCCTGGAAGTTTTAGTGATGTCCGCTGGGCAATACCAGACCCAAACGAATGCCTCACTGACTCTCTGAAGGTGGGAGGGGCTCTTCTCCCAAGCCTCCTTCAGAGGGGCTTGCTGAGACACCCTTCTCCCCACAACCCCCGAAGAATTCCAAAAGAGAACCAGTGTGAATGGATTCTTTGAAACACTCCTCCTGTCTTCCCGACATTATCCAATTGTTTTCAAGTGGGTAACTAACTTTTCCCCAGAAGACATTTGGCAGTATCTTAAGACATCTAAGGATGCAACTGCTCCAGCGTTCCCACTGTCACCTAGTGCACCGAGGCTGGAGATGCTGCTAAAGATTCTGCAGTGTGGGGGCTGGAGAGATGGCTCAGGGGTTAAGAGTATCAGCTGCTCTTGAAGAAGACCTGGGTTCAAATCCTAGCAGCACATGGTGGCTAACAACCGTCCGTAACTCCAGTTCCAGGGGATCCGAAACCCTTTTCTGTCCTCTGTGGGCATTACACTGACACTGCATGATATGGGTGTACTTACATACATGCAGGCAATACACTCATACACACAAAATAAAAATAACAAAATATTAGAGAGAGAGAGAAAAAAAAAAAAAGGTCCTGTAGTGCAATACAGCCCTGGACAACAAGGAATTACCTGGCTAGAGATGTTAGCAGTGCCAAAAGTGTTCAGCTCCATCTTAACTTAAAGAAATAAGCCTCTAATGGAGAGCGCCTAAGTGTCTTTCCAGGTCACTAGACTGAGGATGGCACAGAGGAATTTTCTGGTCCATCATTTTAGATTTATACTACATCAAGGAAGATAAAAGGACTGCCGTTTGCCGTGGTAGGCAACCCAATAATTAGCTCTAACTAGTAAGGGCACAGAGTTGCGTTTGATGGCAACTCATTTTTTTGCCCTAGAAAGCATAAAGGCCCCAAAGGAAAAAGTGAAGGAAATGTAGATAAATTAATAGACCATAAATCAATGTGCTATCTGAGGAAGTCAAGATTTTGGATGTTTTGGGGGTGCATTCTCTGTGCACACCCTTCTCTGTCAAAGATAAACCTTGGTTTTTAGCCAAGATGTTAATTCTTCTGTCTGCAGAATGGGTCAACAAATAGTGATCACTAATTTGGGCTTGGTGGCACATACCTCTAATCTAAGCACTCAGAAAGATGAGACAGGAGGATCACGAGTTGGAAGCCAACCTAGACTACAGAGTGAATGTCTCAAAAACAAAACAAGTGACCACTAGACATTGAAGTCACCAAAATGAATAAGCCTGGTGCCTGTCCTTGGAGAATGAATAATATGGTCTATGCACATGTGCATGCACACATGGGCTAGTTCATTAACAGTAAACAACAGCAGGTGCTGAGACAGGCTTTCCTTTGGAGTTTGGAAGAGAAAGTGATTCCTTCCAGTCAACTGTCCCTGAAGAGGTTGGAAGACCTTTCAATCCTAATCCCCACCTCATTGCAGTCCCTGATGGTTCAGTTCTTTTCCTGAAACTCTTTAATAGTTTATGGCCATACCAACCTGGTGTTGGGCAGGGAAGGCAACCCTTTATGTAAAAGAAGATCTGGGGCTCTGGGGGAGACAACAGGAGACCCTGAGAAGGGGTCCTCCTCAGACAAGGTCAGAAAGCCCCCTGACCTCCCATATCAGACTCTATTACAGGAGCATCAAATTAATTTGGGGAAAGAGACTCACTCTAACTCCTGGGTGATCATGGGCAAATTACTTTGCTTCTCCAGGCCTCCATTCTCTCATGTGCTGAGCAGGGGGTTAGGGAGAGGGAAGGGTTAGGTGCAGCTAGCTGCAAGGTCTTTGTGACCACCTAAGCTCTCTTACCCACCAATTCCTGCCTCTTTATTTTTCAGATGGGAGACCTGGAGGCCCAGAGAAGTAAAAAATGTCTTTTTGAAAGTCACATAGATAAAATGGAAGCCATAGACTAATGCGTATGGTATGGTCCTGCTTATGAAAACAATTTTTACTTTTTTGAAAATACATGAAAGTGGGCATGGTGATACATGTCTATAATCTCAGTACTTGGGAAGTTGCAGCAGGAGGATTATGAGTTTGAGGTCAGCTTGAGAAGCAAAGCAATTTTGATGCAAGCCATACAGTGAAACCTTTTCACAACACAACACAACACAATACAACAAAACATGTAAATCTAAATGGCACACAGAAAGAGATGGATAGATGAAGAAATTATAGTGAGGCCCTTTGGGCTGGGGACAGGTAAAGAAATGGGACAAAGGAAAGCTTTTATTTTTTATATATTTCTGTATTGCTGAAAAACTGTACTATGACAAAAATGTATATGTGTATTATTTCTCCACTTTATTTTTTATTTTATTTTTTTTTGGTCTTTTTGAGACAGGGTTTCCCTGTAGCCCCAGCTGGCCTGGAACTCACTATGTAGACCAGGCTGGCCTCAAACTCACAGAGATCCACCTGCCTCTGCTTCCCTAGTGCTGGGATTAAAGTTGTGCGCCACCATGCCTGGCTATCCACTTTATTTTTTAAAAATATTTATTATTTTTATTTTATGTGTATGTGTGTATTGTCTGCATGTAAGTGCAATGCCCGTGGAGGACAGAAGAAGCTGTCAGATCCTCTAGAACTGGAATTATGGACAGTCGTTAGCTGCCATGTAGGTGCTGGGATTTGAACCCAGGTCTTCTGCAAGAACAGCCAGTGTTCTTAACCACTGAGCCATCTCTCCAGCCTTTATTTCTCCACTTTAAAGATAACATTTAAAACATGACATAGTGGCACAAACCTGTAATCTCAGCACTTGGGAAGCTGAGGCAGGAGCTCTGCTCTGAGTTCAAATCTAGCCTGGTCTACATAGTGAGTTCTAGGCCAACCAGGGCTACAGGAGACCCTTTCTTGAAAAGTGTATGTGTGCGTGCGTGCATGTGTCTGTGTGTATGTGTTATTATAAATAGAATTCTGACAAACAAGCAGATCTCAATTTCTATTTTCCCTCACAACAGGTTTGCTCTGGTCCATTCCAGATCTCTAACACTGTGGTCTGCAAGCCAAGCCACTCTTGTACCCTGTCAGAACAAGCCAGCGTTACCACACTCTCCAGACCAGGCGTTCTCACAGAGTCCTTGAGATGAAAACTATTTGTCATGCTGCCTTAAGCCAGTACTTGGGTTTCAGGCCCAGCCAGCAAACAGAAAAGTCAGGGAGGAGTTTCTCAGAACCTCAGAGATCAAACAGTTAGGGAGCTGAGCACCCTGCTTACAGGTCGCCAGTTTAAAGATTGAATTCAAGTGAGAATGGTGTTCTAGAGGTGTCTGGGCATGTGGAAAGGTGGAGACAATTCAGAGACACAGAGGCAGGGAGACAGTACCCCAAGAGCTGATGAATCCGTGGACTGGCTCTGTGTGGGGATGAGTGATGTCCGCTTCTGGTTGTGGGTTCCCCAGGAGTCTGTGGCTGGTCTGGCTCAGGAAGTAAACAGCAAGAGCAAACTTCAGAGGAGAGTTCTGAATTCTAATTATAACTTCAGAGAACTGGTTTATCGGTTTGGAGGGTCAGTTTCTTCATCTGAAAAATGAAGTCAGCCCTTCCCTTCTTAGGGGAGGTTTCATGAGCGGGTGTCCCTGACAAACAGCAGAGCAGGAACCTTGGTTGACAGGCTCTCATTTCAAGAATGAGATGAAGTGCTGCCCTGAGCCCCGAGGACCCTCTTCTTTGTCTGGTAAAGATCCATCTGTGATGGCAGTCTCTAGGCTCCCATTTGAAATGTGGCCCTCCTTGTGCCTCCCCCATGCTCCCACAGCACCAGGTTCTTATCTCTGCCTCCAGAATCCTTATCTCACTGTATTGCAACTACCTGTTTTCAGGCCTGTCTCTTTCAATGAGCCTGTGTTTGCAGGTTGGGGCACATGAAACATGACGAAAGCTGCTGAAGAGAGAGTGACCACACTAGTGCACTTGGGGCTGCCCTCTGCAGGGCCCAGTATGGACCCAGCATCACTATCACGTGGTCCTGGGCAACGTGAGTGGCTCTCCTGTCTCCTCACACTCTCTTTTTGGGCCTGAGCCTCTGACTCCTCCCAATCTGTGTGGTCACTGCTTAGAACTTCCATCTTCCTCCTCTTGCCAGGTTCATTTTGGAGGGAGATTTTGGAGACAAACTCAGCCCTGATTAAATGGCTTCTCTTTCCTTCTAGGACAGTGTGCCCACCCTCCTTGTCCCTGACACCAGCACTGACACAGCTATGCCCTCTCAGTACCTGCTGTTCCAGACTATCTCTGGACTCCTGGTCTGTGCTCTGCTTGACCCCCCCCCCCAACGTTACCTCCCAGTGTCCACATTCCTGCAACCCTGTGACCACAACAGGGGACATTACACATTCCTGGCTGGGCAGCCAATGGTGTCTAAAAGAACAGAATGTCCCAGGACCTAGTCCATTCCTCGGCTTCACCTGGGCCCCTCCCAGGCCTGGACAGAGCCCTGGAGGAGGGGGTGAGGAGTTCAGAAGGAAGAGGATGTGGAGGAAGAAAAGGATGGTGGGGCCAGTGGGTGCTCCCCCTTTTGCAGTGATCCCCTTTTTCTCCAGGATCCTGGACTTGAGGCTGACCTGGGGTAACCTTGGGACCCCCACCAGAGGGGACCTTAGTTCTTGGAAGCTCACTTGGGGCTCCCTCCCCTGGCTGTCTTGCCCAAGGGGACAGCCCTTTGGGGCTGGCTCCCTCCTCTTCCCTCTCCTCCATCCTTCCCTTAGCACTTAGCCCTGTCTTCCTTAGTTGGTCCGTCTCCCTTTTTCTGCCTTCCCTGTTCTCCTGGTTTCCCCACCTAGTCTCACTCATCCTCCTTCCGGCTTTGCCTTCCTGGCTTTGTGTTTAGGCTCTTTCTCCTAAAGTTCAAGCTCTCTACGCCTCACCTGCCCTCTGTCTAGTGTCCTTGCCAGTCACTTCTCCATCAGTCCCTGGGCCCAGACTCTTCCTCAAGCAAGACCCTCCTGCCATGGTAGGTCACCTGTACACCTGTCCCCAGAAACCTTTCCTCCCCTGAGAGCTCCCAGCCCAGACTCCTCCTCTGCCCCTCCCCCTGCCCTGCTCACCTTTAATTGAGATGCTAATGAGGCTTCTGTAGCTCCCATCCTTGGCCGACGGGCGGGCTCCGGGGCCAGGCCCTGCACCTGTCAGGTGAGAGGGTGGAGAAGCTTGGCTGCCAGATTCAACTGGAAAGGAACCAGTCCCAGTCCAGCCACACCTGGGAGCTGGGGGAGCAGGAGGTAGCTCAGACCTTCGGCTGCCCTGACGTTCCCGAGGCTGAGACGGGAGGCAGTAGGCAGAGGCTACCGGAGAAAAGGGGCCAGGAGGAGAGAGGAGGGAAAAGCACGGGAAGAAGAGAGAGAGAGAGAGAGAGAGAGAGAGAGAGAGAGAGAGAGAGAGAGAGCGCTCAGGAGGCAATCGGGCGAAGACGGAGAGCATAAGCCAGCCACACAGTCTTGGAAGAAGAGGGTGGGAGGGAGAGGCTGCTGAGCTGGGCAGAAGGTCTGCTGTAAAGACAGGACTCCTTATCTGAGAAGTAGCGAGGTCACTCCAGGGAAGCTCAGAGACAGCTGGCTTGTTGGCCCCAACTCCCGCAGGTCAGCCGGCTCCTGGAAAGGTGGAGGAGGGCTGGAGGACTGAGGAAGAGTGGACACAGAGTGGGATGCGGGCACGGCCAGAGGCAGCTCCACTCAGCATTCATGCTGGTGATGTGGGAGCAAACCAGAACCCTGGGCTTACTCTTGACCTAGACCTTCATCTCCCCAACTCACCCAAGGGCTCTATGAAGGGTGACATACTCAAGGAGCAAGACCCTTGTCCTCCCCAGCCCATCCAAGAGCTTATGAAGGGAGGCAAGCAGGAGGAGCAGGGGCTGAACCCTGAACCCTCAGCCCCCCAACAGCCCACAGAGGAGGAAGAGGCCCTGATTGAGTTCCACCGTTCCTACCGAGAGCTCTTCCAGTTCTTCTGCAACAACACAACCATCCATGGTGCCATCCGTCTGGTGTGCTCCAAGCACAACCGCATGAAAACTGCCTTCTGGGCAGTGCTGTGGCTCTGCACCTTCGGCATGATGTACTGGCAGTTCGCCCTGCTGTTCGAAGAGTACTTCAGCTACCCGGTCAGCCTCAACATCAACCTCAACTCAGACAAGCTGGTCTTCCCTGCTGTTACTGTCTGCACTCTTAATCCCTACAGGTCAGTCTGTCCTGTGCCATTTTCCTAGTAGCACAGGACCCTGAGGTACTCACTGGGCAGGCAGGCCCCCAGCTCTAGGGGAGGGTCTGAAGTTCCTGGTCCCAGGTAACACCTCCTTCTGGGCATCAAGCTCCTGGCTTGATGGCCTGGTGTCATTATGGACTACAGCCACCCTTGTATCCAGGCTTACCCCAGGAGAGAGTGTTGGGCCATCAGTGCCCTCCCCTCCTAACCCTCTCCCTTCAGCAAGTGGGAGGGAGCATTGATGAGGTGACCGACTCATAACTTCCAAGAGGGCAGCGATGCACTGAGTCCCATCTGGTGATATCAAAGAACGAGGTCTCCTTAGTCTCCACAGACGGGTCTAAGGGAGGGCTGGGGTGCAGTTGAGTGGTAGAGCATGTGTTTAGCATGCACAAGTCCCAGGATTCCATCCCTCAGCAACAGAGCGAGCAAGAAAGTAAACAAAGGAAAGTGGTACTAGAGCCGTCTAGCCAGGTGAGCAGAGGTCAAGGCCTTCAGAGGCTCTGGTGGTGCATAAGATGTTTGTGCAGAAACAGAGTTTGCTGTGGTGTGGAGAAAGCAACATGAGGGTGGGGGGAAGGTTTAGGGCTACAAAGCTGAAGGAGAGTGGGGTGGGAAAGACGCCTGTTGTCAGCTGTCCCTAAAGACCCAGGCTAACAAGTGCAGGTGATTTCCCGAGGAGCTGCCCTGTCCACCTGCCCTGGTATCTGACCTCTGAAGGATTGGGTGTGCCCTGAAGTTTTGAGTTTCATCAGCGTGCTTTGCCAATTTGGGTCTGGAAACTGGACTGTTACCATGGAGAAGAGAAGAGGGCAGGGCTAGGTGTTTTTACGCACCTTTTATTTGTATTCACCCAGTCATGCCGCACGTTGTACCAGCCTGTGTTAAGCCAGGCACAGTGCTAGGCACACAGCAGAAGAGCCTTGTTAATAATTCAACAACCTTTATTGAAGGCCAGGTGCTTTTCTAAGTACTGGGGACAGAAAGTTAAAATAAGGTGGAAGAGGTAGGCATATAAACAAATACTGTAGCACACTGTGATTAGTGCAATAAAAACTGAGTTGGTCTGCCTTCAAGGAGTGTAAGATCTCTTATGAGTGTGTGAATGAGAGTGTGTGAACACACGTCAGGAATGCAGGCGATTGTGGATGACTAGGATTGGTTATACACTGTGGGGTGGAGGCCCCCTCAGCTAGCCTGTCATGTCCAAAGGTGTGTCATGGATTAACAAAGGTTGGGAAATCCTGTCCTGGAGAGGCAAAACTACCCCCAGATAACATCCAAGGTAGGGGCATTAGACCCTAAGAAATCCTCCATAGGCTTCTCAACATGGACTGCTGTTATCCCCATTTCACATGTAAAGAACAGGGAATGGAGGCCAAGAGAGACAAGTCATAAGGTTACAGATTCTAACCACATCCTGATTCATCTGGCTCTCTTGATTCCCAAACTTGTGCTTACTACTTAAGAGGTCTAAACACTCCAGAGATGGAACTTGGAATAAGTGAAATTTCCAGTCAAAGGTGGTTTACTATCATTTCAGGTCTCCCTTAGCCTGGTTTTTCCTCCAGGGTTTCCCAGCCCTCATCCTCCTAAGCCGGGAAGAGAATGGGGGATGTTATAGCCTGAAGGTGATGGGGGGAGGGGGGCAGGGCTGAGGAGGGAAGTAAGTTGTAGGCACTCAATAAATATTTGTGGTCACAAAGATGTTGAGGAGATATGGGGAGGGCAGGGATAAGTCTGTTGAAGGAGGCCTGCATATTTTCAGTTTCTGCTGGGTGCAGGGCCTTAGGCAGACATGGATAAAACCCCAGGGAATGGAGATCACAGTACTCAAGGTTCCCCGGGAATTGGGAAGCAGCTGTCCACATGAAGTTCCCCTCCTGCTGGAAGTCCAGCTGCAGAGGAAGGAGAGAACACCCAGAAAGAGAGGGACTGGAGATGGCTCCCAAACACAGGAGGAGACAACACCTACTATGTGCGTGACCCAGAGCTGGGTGATTTATAAGCACTGTCTCCTTTAATCCTGAAAAGTCTAGAGAGGTGGCCATTTTTATATATTTCCTTTGTTGCTGGTTTTGTTGTTGTTATTTATTTGTTTGTTTTGAGACAGGATCTCCCTGTAGCCCCAGCTGGCCCCTGGAACTCACTATGTAGACCAGACTGACCTCAATCTCACCAAGATCTGCCTGCCTCTGCCTCCCAGAGTGCTGGGATTTTTGTTGCTATATTTTGAGACAGGGTCTCAATATAACCCAGGCCGGCCTTGAACTCCTGGGATTGCAAGGCATTCACTAGCACACCCATGTTATTTCCAATTTCCAGATGATTGATGCCACCAAGGTGGAATAATTTGAGTAAAAGTCATATAGCTAATAAGAAGAAAAAGTAACAACAATAGTTAACACATATTTATGTGCCAGATATTTTTCCAAATGAATCTAAATCTGAATTAAATAGTATTAAATGATTTAATCCTCACAATAGACTTGGGGAATGTATACCATTATTTCTTCCATTTTATGGATGAGGAAACAGGCCCTGAGAGTTAAACTCTAACTGATAGCAAGCGGTAAAACTGGGATGCAAATATCACCCCCAACTAAGAACTAGTGTTTTTCAGCTTAGCAAATCAAGTCCCAAACCAAGCGTGACTTCATACTCCCCCTGACCTGACACTTGAAGTAGGGAGCCGCAAGGTTTCCCAAAGTGGGGTGACATGGAAGGAGCCCAGTAGGAAGAGCAGCAGAAGAAAGGGGGCTCCTGGTTAAGTGTGCAGGGGTACAGAACCAGGGCCAGGGGGAGAGGCAGTAGGCAGGCTGGGGCAGCCTGGTGGCTGCTGACCTGAGTGTGAATCATGGGCTTCTGGCAGAGGGAGGGACTCGGGTTGGAGGAGGATAGAATGTAGGATTCAGTTGCCAAAGAAGACCTGGAACAAGGCAGAATCAATCACACGAGGGTGTCTATCTGCTGAGGGACAGCAGAGGGGCAGCAAGAAGCCTGGCTGTGCTGTTTTACAATTTCCAGTCACTTGAAGAAGAGGGCCAGTCATATCCACATCCTTAGAAAACAGAGCCACTCCTGGAGAGATGGCTCAGCAGTTAAGAGCACTGGCTGCTCTTGCAGAGGGCCTGGGTTCAGTTCCCAGCACCCACATGGCAGCTAACAACCATCCACAATTCCAGTTCCAAGGAATCCAGTGCCCTCTTCTGCCTCTGTAGGTATTGCACACGTGGTGCACTTACATTCATTCAGAAAAAATACTCACACACATAAAAATAAAATCTTAAAAAACAAAACCAAAAAAGATCACAAGGTCACGTGGTAAGGTCAGTGGCAGACAGTCTCTGGGGTTAAGAAAACAACAACAGCAGTTGCATACAAGTACCCACTCTGCCAAGAACTTTGCTTAGTCCTTTTTTTGTGTATTAGTCCATGGTGGAGCAGGTATTCTGTCTCCCATTGTGTGGGGCTCATATCTGGATGACTAGGTGGATATCTCATATTGCCGAGGAAAAAGTTTTATAGCATGAGTTATTATTTTTGGGACTGCCTATCTGTGTAAGATATCTTAGGTCACTACAGGTCAGAGTCTTCTTGGTCTGGGCCTGCTCACTGAGGTGTGGGATTCTGCATAGCATCATCATGACACCCTAAGACAGACTGCAACTGGAGTTTGCTTAATGGGTCCTGCTCAGAGGTGACAGTGGCCTTGCTGTCAACCCAGCCTGTCCTGATGCAACAGCGGTCCAGTTCTGAGGCTAGAATGACTAAACACAGCCATCTGTCTCATCCTGGCATCCATAATCACCACCCTGGCTGTCCTCACTCTAAGCAGTCAGTAGCTTTTGAGCACCTTTAGCTTTTAAAGTGTCTGAACTCCACGTGTGATCTGAGAGCTCAGAACCCACTGAAGAGGGGTGATCCTCATCCTCAGGGGGTTTATAGGTAAGGGTTACTTGTGGAGCACCTAGTTGTGAATGTATTATGGCACAGGCTAAAGTCTCAGGGGGCTCTGTGTGTGTGTGTGTGTGTGTGTGTGTGTGTGTGTGTGTGGTGGGCTCTATTAGTATTGTGTTCAGAGGTGCCTGGGAGACCAGGGGCTGGGAAAGAGATCAAAGAGAGGAAGATCAAGACTTAGGGCCTTAGATGAAGTAGAGAGTAGAGCTAGGCACCCAGGTACACGCTGGCAATGAGGTAGATTAGTGTATCTCTTGTTCTCAACTCTACTTAATACTCCAGAATGTTGGCTGAGAATGTTGTGGGGGTCCCTGGGTGAGTGTTTGGGGGTCTAGGGCATGTCTTAAGGCTTCCAGGACAAGCATGGCTTCTGTGGGATAAGCCCAACCAAGCAGAAGACTGAAGGAGAAGGAGGAGACACAGATGGGAAAAGAAAAATGGTGTCAGTCCTCAAACCGCTTAGGACTCCTGCATCCTGCCAGCCTGTCCTTTAAAGGGAAAAGTCAGCGGGGAAATGTCTAGCTTTAGAGAAAGAAGATGCTGTTGGCCAATTCCAAGCACTCTGTAGTCAGAAGTAGTGGGAAAAGTAGGAACCATGGAGTCTAATAGGTCTGGGTTCAAGCCTTAGCTTCAATACTTCCCATCTGAGTGAGGCTAGGAATGTTGCCTGGTAGATGGGCCTCAGTTTCCTGAACTGTGAAATGAGAAGAGTAAGGTTTGCATAATGGAATTGCACAGGGGTTCACCCACCTCCCATGGGTGGGCTGTCTGCCAGAGCAGACAGAAGTGAGGGGAGTGAGGGTGGCCCATCTTGCTGGAGTCCCATCGACGGTGGTCTCGACTCTAACTCCTGGTCTCAGGACAAGACACTGTGTTTTGCTCAGTGGTCTGTTCTCTCAACTCTAGTGCCAGTCAAAGGCTCTGAATCCTGTCAGGCAAAAGCTTAGTGACAAGGAGTTAGGGTGATTCTATCTTAAATTAAAAAAGGAGAGAAGTGCCCTTGGTTTGGGAGGAGTGTTGGAAGGAACTTACTTCTGGAGGCCTTGTCGCAGGTGCTGACCAAGGAAGGGCTGGGAGGCCAGGCTGTGTCAGGATGTGTGTCATTGGCACCCAGTCCAGAAGATGCAGCAGGGGGCTAAAGGTCAGGATTGGCACCGAAGGAAAAGAACCTGGTTCAGTGACAACGTGGGCTCAATGGGGAAAAGTGATGTGGCCAGAGAAGTGACAGTGTGGAGTTACTGATGAGGAAAGGAGGCAGAAGAGGAGCACTGAGGAGCAGAAAGGAGGTCCAGCCAAAGAAGAGGTGACCTGTGTCAGAGAAATAACTCTAGTGGAGCGGGGGACCTGGGTTCTTCCTATATGATCTTGAGAGAGTAAAGCGACACTTCCCTGGGCTTTAGGCTCCAGTCTGTGTCTTCCTGAGGGCTGACCATCTCTTCACTTTGTGCTCTTCATTATTTTCCCATTTCTTCCTCCCAGAACTTCCCATGGTGGGCAGATCTAGTGCCATGCCCATTCTACAGGTGAACAGCTGAGACTAGGACTCACAAAGAATGGATTCCTTACCCAACATTACTGTTGCTGGGGCAGTAGGATGCACGTCCAGCAGGGGGCAGTGTATGTGTTAAGGGCAAGCTCCAGTGGTCTTTCTGGGATAGAAGAGAGGACACAGAAGGTTGGAGCACTTTCTGACTCATGTCCTGGCCATACTGTCTTCAGTAAGTCATCATGCCTCAGATTTTTCTCCTGGAAAAAGGCATAACAATAGTATTAACCAAGAGTGGCGAGCAGTATTTATCACGTATGTTCTAATCCCTCAGTGCCTGGCTCCTAGGAGGTGCCCAGTAAATACTAGCTGGCATGGCCATTCTTGTAGTTATCAATAACAAATAAGTCTCAGAAGGCCAAACACACACCTTGGACCCAAGCTCCATTTTGTCCTGTGAGGGGCTGAGGAGCTTCAGGAGGGAATGCCTAGGGTCCAGTCATCTGGACTTTCAGGGTGAAGATAGAGCCCAAAGGGGGGAATGGGAAGGTTTGGACTGGATGGTGATGACTGTAGCTACCCTTTAGGACCACATACAAGCTTTGAAACAACCTCAGGCTGCAGGTGTGGCTCAGTGGTAGAGCATTTGCCTAGCACTTGTGAGACCCTGGGTTTGATCCTGGGTACCCTCAAACCAAATCAAACTGTGTTTGGATCACACTCCAGACTCTCTGGCAGTAGCAGACTTCACTGGTACTTGAATTTTTCCTTACCCTCCCCCCTCTTTCTTTTTTCTGGAGACAGAGTTTCACTATGTATCCCTGATTGGCCTGCAACTTACTATACCTTGGACTCACAGAGATCTGCCTGCTCCTGCCTCCCGAATTCTAAATTTAAAAGAATATTCCCTGAATTCTGATTTTAAAAGAATGTACCACTACATCCTACTCTTGAACCTTTTTTCTTGTAAAGATTTGTTTTTATTTTGTGTGTATGACTGTTTTGCTTGCATGTATGTTAACTGACCACGTTCCTACCTGGTACACAAGGAGGTTAGAAGAGGGTGTTGGAGCCCCTGGAAATGGAGTTAAGGTTGGGTGTTTCCCTCCATGTGGGTGCTGGGAACTGATCCTGGGTCCTCTACAAGAGCAGCCAGTGCTCTTAACAACCTAACCATCTCTCCAGCCCCCTCATATGGTTTTAATATTACCCATGTGCTCATATGATCCTAATCTAACAAGTTTATAGGTGGTATGTTTTTGTTATGGGAATAAGTTATTTATATTATTATTTGAGATAGGGTCCAAAAAAATGGAACTTGCCATGTAGACCAGGCTGGCCTCCATCTCACAGAATTCCACCTGCCTCTGCCTCCCGAGTTTTGGAACTGAAGGTGTGCGCTACCAATGCCCGGCAGAAATAAATTAGTTATCAGTCTGTGTCTCATGGCTGCTGTTGGACAGGTAGCGTCTGTGTACACAAATGAAGGGTAAGGTCATCCTTTCTCTGTTTTTGCACTCAAAATGGAGCCAGATGCTGCTTTGTAAAATGGAGTCTCTCAGGGCACGGCACAGCCTGACAGCCACTGTTTCACACAACATGGAGTAACAATGCAGGGGACACAGCCTGCTCTCTGCAATGGGTTAAACTTTTCTATTTCCAGACTGAATTGAATCAGTGCTTTGGTGAAAAATCCAGTTGACCATCTTGTGTGAATTTATTTATGGATTTCTACTATTCCACTGATTTATTATGCATTATGACCAAGAACTGTCCTGTTTAGATGACTGTGGCTTTATAGGAAATATTAAACTCAGGTAGTATAAATCCTCCAGCTTTGTTCTTCTTTTCCAAGATGTTTTGGCCACTACAGGTTGTTTGCAAACTGGGCTTGGTGGCATGTACTTGTAACCTCAGCTACTCAGGAGGCAGAGGCAGGAAGAGTCCAAGCTTGAGGCCAGTCTGAACTTTTTTGCATCTCCATAGACATCTTAGAATCAGCAGCTATTTGTTTTAAAATATTTGCTGATATTTTGGTCTGGATAATGTGGAATCTAAAACTCTAGTTGGGAGGAGGCATCATAACTGTCTGATCAACTGTTTTGGTGTTTGGTTCTTCTTTTTTTTTTCTTTTTGAGACAGGGTCTCCCTGTAGCTGCAGCTGGCCTGGATTCGTTACAGAGACCAGTCTGGCCTCGAACTCACAGAAATCCTCCTGCCTCTGCCTCCCGAGGTGCTAGGATTAAAGGTGCGGGCCACTACGCCAGGCTGGTGTTTGATTCTTTAGCAGGGATTTTTGTCTGCTCTTTTTCCTAAGAGATCTGTTCACCTTCTTTTAAAAAATATATTTTATTTATTATTTTTATTTTATTTTATGTGTATGAGTATATTGTATGCATGTGTGTTAAGTGCATCCCTGTCGTGTAATGCTTGCAGAGGCCAGAAAGAGGGCGTCGGATCCCTTGGAACTGGAGTTACAGACAGTTGTTAGCCACCATGTGGGTACTGGGAATTGAACCTGGGTCCTCTGCCAGAGCAACCAGTGCTCTTAACTGCTGAGCCATCTCTCCAACCCCTGTTCATCTTCTATTAGGTCTACTAGGGATTGGAAATTATGTTATTTAATGTGGTGGATTTTTTCTTTTTTTGTCTTGTCTTTTTGAGACAGGGTCTCCCTGTAGCCCCAGCTGGCCTGGAACTCACTATTGTAGACGAGGCTGGCCTTGAACTCACAGAGCTCACCTGCCTCTGCCTCCCAAGTGCTGGGATTAAAGGCGTGCACCACCACGCCCTGCAATGTGTTATTTTTATGATTTCATTTTTCTTTTTCCATTGCTAGTATGTAGAAATACAATTAATTTTTGAATATTACTTTTGCTTCCTGCAGCCTGTTTAGTTTATCATGTCTAAGGCCAGTTATTGTGACTTCCGTCTTGCAGATGGTAATAGAACCGGTACTGAGAATAAGGAATGTGAGGGTTTACACTGAACAGTGTTTATTATGGTGTTTGGATCCCTCCCAAAACTCATTAAAGCTGAGTCTCTGGAGGAGGGGGAAAGGAGGCATCACATCTGGTACTTTTTCTAAAAGTGCAGTTGAGAAGCCTTGCTTTGAAGGTGGAGGTGGCAGGACTGGGTTAAAGACGACCCTCCCCAGAGGGGTCCGGCAGGGGAGCAACCGGACCAGGGTAGTGGCTTGGCCTTGGGGAAGGGCGCCCCACAGAGGGGTGATAATAAATGAAGTCCTGGCTTTGACTTGTTTTGCCGACACATATGTTTACATCCCTACCCCAAGACAGCTCTAGAGCCATCAGAGCGGTCTCTGATCCCAGTCACCGGTAAGAGAGAAAACCGAGGTCCGGAAAGTCCAGCAATTCAGGCAGCCCACTCCTAGACCGACCGTCCCTATTCACCGTTTTTTTTTCAGATATACTGAAATTAAAGAGGAGCTGGAAGAGCTGGACCATATCACGGAACAGACGCTCTTCGACCTGTACAAATACAACTACTCCAACACTCGCCTGGTGCGTGCCCGGCGGCGCGGCCCTCGCCACCTGGGTGACTCGCTGCCGCACCCCCTACAGCGCCTGCACATCCTGTCCGCGCCCCACCGGGCCCACACCGTGCGCAGCTCCTCTTCCAGCATGCGCGACAACAACCCCCAAGTGGACAGGAAGGACTGGAAGATCGGCTTCCAACTGGTAAGGCCCCGCCCGGTAGGTCAGGTCCCGCCCACGCACGCGTCCCGCCTCTTGGCTCCGCCCCGGTGCTCAGACCCCGCCCACTCCTTGAACATCCTCAGACTACAGAAGGAAATAGAGAAATTTTCATAAAAACAAAGATCACACTCCAGTGTGCCAGCTTTCTTGGAACCTCTTTGCTGGGGCCGGGGGTGGGGGCGAGGATGGGGGTATGTGGCAACGTTTAAGCAGCAGGACATCCAATCTGTTGCAGAAAATGCACTTTTAACTTTGGTGCCCTCCGTTGACATTTTTGGTCTCTCTGTGCAGTGCAACCAAAACAAATCAGATTGCTTCTATCAGACGTACTCATCAGGGGTGGATGCAGTGCGGGAGTGGTACCGTTTCCACTACATCAACATTCTGTCCAGACTGCCCGACACCTCGCCATCCCTGGAGGAGGAAGCGCTGGGCAACTTTATCTTTACGTGCCGCTTCAACCAGGCCCCTTGCAACCAGGCGTAAGTAGACAGGGTCTCTTCTTCCATGAGTCTTCCATGGGTGCAAGGCAGAAGCAGTAGCCTGAGGCTTGGGCCACCAGCAGAGGGTTACTTCAAAGGCTGATAGCTGCTCCCTTATCATTGGATCAGAGTGCCTGACCTCTAGGATACCTGGGAAGATTAGATCTTGATATCTAATTTCAGAAATCAAGGAGCAGAAGTATGGTTCTTACCTTTCCAAGACTTCTTTCTCACAGGCATCAAAACTTACGTAGGCCGGGAGGTGTTGCTATGGTAAGATCAGTTGGCATGGACTGGAGGTCTAAATCTGAGTTCCCACTTCAGTCCATCCCTGCCTGACTCAAGCATTTCACATGATTCTTCAGAGCCTTTTCTTTGTAAAACGGAAACAGACCAAAACACAAAAAAGGAGATTCATTCAGTATTCATTCAATAAATATTTCTGTTTGGGTCATAGGCCAGACTCTGTTATAAGCATATGGAATACATTAAAGGGAAAAAGAAGCACATGATCCTTGCCTTTTTTCTCAAGTGATGCAGATGATGAATACTCATCTTAAGAGTTACACCAAGCATGTGAGATGGTAAATGTGACAGCACTTTATATACCTTGGGGCATGATGGATGCCGTGTCTCATGCACCCAAAGAGGTGAAGTGACATGCCCAGGAGCCTCAGGCTGGCCTGGCTAAGGATTCTTCCCATCCTACTGTTTGTTCCTCAGGGGCCATTTTTTTTCTTTTTAAAAAAGATTTATTTATTTAAATTTTTTGTGTATGAGGGTATTGCCTGCATGTATGTAAGTGCACCTGTGTTGTACAATGCCCACAAAGACCTGAAGAGGGCATCAGATCCCCTGGAACTGGAGTTATGGATGGTTGTTAGCTGCCCTGTGGGTGTTGGGAATCAAACCTGGTTGTCTGCAAGAGCAGCTAGTGCTCTTAACCACTGAGTCATCTCTCCAGCCTCCCTCAGGGGCCATTTCTGTTAGGACCCCTGTCATGATGTCTTTGGGAAGAGGTCAGGGTCGGCCATCCAGGCTTTCTGAGGGCCAGAAGTGGTGGGAGTGATGGCCTTGTCTTCTGTATCCTCTGGCCTCCTGCTACTTCTCTCTGTTCCTTGATTTTTCAGGAGTCATCTCACTGCCTCTGCCTGGCTGAGGAAGGGTGCTGAGCAGTGTCTGTGCTCTGCCAGGGGCCCTTCCCTCTCATGTCCCTGGAACAGCAGCAGGGCCAGGTGTCACCTGCCTCTGCCTCCACCTCTCACCTCATGTGCTCGCATGCTGCCTGTGTCACAACTTTGTCCCTGTCTCTAGTCTTTCTGTTTGTTTGAGGATAGAAGCTAGCAGCTGGGAAATGAGGCAGTGACACCTGAGTCAGCTGCACCTGTCGCCAAGCCTCTCTTTCACCTTTTACCTGTAGTTTTCAGCCCAATTCTCTCCTTTGTCCACTCCAAGTTTCTGCTTCCCTTCCCAGAAAGTCCATAGTTCATCTTTGTCTTGGCACCCAGGCTGCTTCCTCGGCACTTTATCATTCTCATCAGGATTGTTACAACCACCCCCTAATTTGTCCTTCTGCCTCTAAATCCTCCCTTCCTTCTGTCGACCACAAGAAGTCTTTACCCATTTCTGTTGCTATAACAGAATACTACAGACTGGATAATTTATGAAGAAAAGTTCGTTTCTTCTAGTACCAGAAGCTAGGAAGTCCAAGAGCTTGGTACCAGAATCTGGTGAGGGCTCCCACAACATAACATGGCAGAAAAGGGGAAGGGAAATTGAGCACGCAGAAGAGGAAACAGGAAGGATGGACCTGCTTGAGTAATAGCCTAATCTCATAGCAACTAACCCTCTCCCTGAGTCCACAGTAATGCTGTGGATCTGTTCACTAGGATTTGCCCTCGTGGCACGCGATCTCCTCTTGTTGGGTCTCAGCTACGATGCCTCACCCATAGCAGGAAACTTTCTCTACACTCACTACTCAAGTCAGTCCTATTTGAAATTCTCCAGTCTCTCATTGACTTCCACATCAACCAGTGCCTCCTTGGCCTTGACCCTTGCCTTATCCTCTCTCTCCTTTCATCTTTTTTCTTCTTCCTTTTTGTTCTGAAGATTAAAAGGGCCTCACATCCTGTAGGCAAGCACTCCACCATTGAACTACATCCTCAGGCATAATTTTTCTTTAATAACCTCTTATTGAGATGTAGTTACCATGCCCGAAAGTTCTTCCTTTTCATATATACAATTTAGTGGTTTTTAATCTATTTAGAGTTGTGTAACCATCACCACTATCTAATTTTAGAACATTTTCTTCACCCCACCCCAAGAAACCCAGTACCCATTAGCTGTTCTTCCTCATTCTGTCTCCTCTTTCAAGCCCTGGGAACCACGAATCTGCTTCTTGTCTCCATGGATTGCCCTTTGTGGACATTTCATATAAAGGGGTTCATACAAGGACAGGGGATGTAGCTCAGTGGTAGGCTGATTGCTTAGCATGTGTGAGGTCCTGAGTTCCATTTCCAGCACCATTAAACCGTTAATACATATTATAATATAATGTAATTTTATATATATATCATGACTTGTGGCTTCTTTTACTTAGTGTAGTATTTTCCAGGTTCATCTCTGTTATAGAATTCTTTATTATGGCCAAATAATACCATATTGTATAAACATATCAGGGGTTTGTGCACTCAGTCTTTGGTTGACAGACATTGGGATGTTGCCACTCTGGCCCTTATAAATGCTGCTGCTATAGCAATCCTATGTAGGTTTTCATATCCATAATGTTTTAGTTCCCTTGGTATGGCTCCTAGGAGTGGAGTGCTGAGTTACATAGGTATTGTAACATTTCGAGGCACTGCTGGACTTTGTTCAATGGCTACTTGACTTTATATTCCCAGAAGCAGTGCTGAGGGTTCTAAATTCTCCACATCCTCCACTTGTTATTGTCTATCTTTTATTTTTATTTATTTTTAAATTTTTTATTTATTATTTTTATAACTGGAGTTATAGACAGTTGTTAGCCATCATGTGGGTGCTGGGAATCAAACCTGGGTCCTCTGCAAGAGCAGCCAATGCACTTAGCTGCTGAGCCATCTCTCCAGCCCCTTGTCTATCTTAAAACAACAACAACAACAAAAACCAAAACAACAGCAACAACAACAAAAACCCTTTGATTTAAAGAGTTACATTTATTTGTGTATGTGCATGTGTGTGGGCACTTTCACGCCATGTGGGCCTGTGGAGAACGGAGGCCAGCTTGCAGGAGTTTTTTCGAGGCTTGGCAGCAAGCACTTTTGCTTGCTATGTCATCTTGCCAGCCCTTGTCTGTCTTTTTTGACTTTAGCTCACTTAATGATCCACTGTCATCTTAGCAGGAAACTAATAGTTCTTCGTGCTGAAACTAACTTAATCCTCAGCACCATTGTAAAGTAGTTGCTTTTATGATCTTCATTTGACAGAGGAGGAAACCGAAGTACAGAGAGATTTAGTAACTTGTTTGTCCTCCTTTCTAATATCCTTAGTTAGTATTCTAACTGATTTCAGTTAGGAACTGAAATCCAAAGACAGTGTTTTGTTTTTCAAGGACTGGGTCTCACTCTTAGCCCAGGCTGGCCTGGAACTGTGTGGTCCAGGCTGGCCTCAAACTCTCAGTGATCCTACTACCTCAGCTTCCCAAGTGTTGGGATTATAGGAGTGCACCACTGCACCTGACTGAGGCTTTGTTCTTAAAGTTTTTTTTATTACATTCATTTATTTATTGTCTGTTGGGGGTGAGTAGTGTGCACATGCCATGGCAAGGATGTGGAGGTCAGAGGACATCTGGTTGCAGTCAGTTCTCTCCTTCTGCCATGTGGGTCATGGGGATTAAACTCAGTTCTTCAGGCATGGCAGCAAGTACTTTTACCCACTGAGCCTTCTCACTGGCCCAGGCCTTTGTTTTTTGTTTTTGTTTTTTTTTTTTTTGTTTTTGAGACAGGGTCTCCCTATAACCCCAGCTGGCCTGCAGAGATCTGTCTGCCTCAGCCTCCTGAGTAATGAGATTGAAGGCCTGTGCCACCACATCCAGCAAGGCTTTGTTCCTGACCATCACGTTCTATGGTGTCTTGTTAGACATTCTATAAATGTTCATGTGTCAAATGTATATTTCTTTGTATATGAATTTCAAAATTTTTATTTGATTTATATAAGTGATCTTGTATGTTAGATCTCTTATTTTCTCTCTCTTAAAGAAAAACCCAACAACCCTGAGCTTTGTGTTTAAGATCCACCCATGCTTCTCCATCTGATCTGGTTCTACCTGCTGTGTACCATCCATGAAGAGCATCCATGTCACTGTACTGTCTCCTCTCCCAGCGAGCGAGGATCAGTGGCCCTTTAGGATAGCACTCTTCCTCAGTCCCCTCTGCATCCTGCCCATCTCTAGAAATGCTGACTTAACATGAGCCCCAGTGTTTCACATCTCTGTGCCTTTGGTTTTTAAGACCAGTAGAATACTCCAGATCTTCTAATTCCACTCATTATTTCCAGATGGAAAGTATGGCTAGCCCACAGCCACGCAACCAGAATCCCCCCCAAGCCAGTTTCCCCCTTGTATTTCTCTCTATTCTTCCTCTGCCTGTCACAGGTCAGAACCCCATTTTCCTTCTCTCCTGCTCCTGTCCTCAGCTGCAAGACGGCAGGGTAGGAGAACACTGGTCCCCTCTCTCCATGCAGGCCCTTATGTGTGATTTGCTGTCAGTTTGTGTTTCTATTGCAGCAGCACTGCTTCTGTGACTGTCTATTTATTTATTTAATTTATTTATTCATTCATTTTTATGTGTATGTGTGTTGCCTGCATGTATGTAAGTGCACCCATGTCATGCAATGTCTGCAGAGCCAGCAGAGGGTGTTGGATCCTGTATTAGTTACTTTTCTGTTGCTGTGATAGGAACACTGACCAAAGCAACTTATAGAAGGAAGAGTTTATTTGAGCTTACGGTTCCAAAAGGGCAAGAGTCCATCATGGTGGGGAGGCATCAAGGCAGAGGTGGCTGGAGGAGGAGCAGAAGCTAAGTTCTCACGTCTTCAAGCAGGCACAAGAAATAGGAGAGCGACTTGAGATCTGGCAAGGCTTAAGAACTCTCTAAGTCCGCCCCCAGCGAGGTGCTTCTTCCAACATGACCACACCTTCTAAGAACTCTCAAAACACCGCCACCAACTGGGAATAGAATGTCTAAACACTTGGAGCCTATGAGGGACATTCACGCCATCACAGATCACCTGGAATTGGAATTACAGATGGTTGTTAGCCACTGTGTGGATGCTGGGAACCAAACCCAGGTCCTCTGTAAGAGCAATGGCTCTTAACCGCTGAGCCCTCTCTCCAGCCCCTGTGATTGTCTTCTTGGTTCTCAAGCCTGTTATAGATCAGCTTTGGACCTACTAGTCTGATGCTTGAGGCCTCTGGAAGACACTCAGCCTGTGTGCTCTGAACTTCCTTCCCTCAGCTCCATGCTTACTATGGGTCTCATGCTCTCCTCTAATGCTGTTCCCCTCCATCTCTCCATCCCCTTCACTTATGAGCTCAACAACTACTTATTGGCTATCTCCTGTATCGTGTATGTGCCAGGAACCGTGTAGCTGACGTCACGATAACACAAAGATGAATAAGATGTGGTTCTTGCCCTCAAGAACCTCACAATCCAAATGAGGAACCAAGATTTAGACACTGAGAAGTCAAGTGCAAACATCTTCGTGCAACACAACAGGTCACAAGGAAGCATGAACAGTGAAGTCAGAGGAGGAAGATCCTGGGTAGCAGGTGGATGCCCTGGGTCTGTGTGTCCTAGTCTAAGAGCTTGAACTTCCTCTTTTGTGACAGGAAGATGAGGCTGTTAGTTGGACTGACAGGGTGCATCGCCCAACCTCACAGTATTGCGTAGGCACGAAAGAGGCGATGAGGAAACAGCTGGCCCCCAAAGACCTAATTTCTATGGGAATTTAAGGAAATGATTTTGTATTAATGACTTCTCTGTTGTTGGGATAGAAACACTGACCCAAGCAGTTTATAGAAGAGTTTGTTTGAGCTTACAGTTCCAGGGGAATTACAGTCCATCATGGCAGGGAGGCATGGTGGCTGGAGGTGGATGGAGGTGGTTGGAGCAGGAGCAGCAGAAGCTAAGCTTTCATATCATCACACAGGCACAGGAAGGAAGAGAGCAACTGGAGATCTGGCAAGGCTTAAGAATTCTCTAAGCCGGGAGGGAGGCTATGGGAAGGTGCCATCTGGGAAGTGGGTGTATAGTTGAATAAGATGGTTTGGGATGTTCTGTGTGATACACACACACACACACACACACACACAAAATCAACAAATTTTAAAAAATTATTATATTTGAGGAAGAAGCATGGAAATTTACATCATGTCAATAAGTAGAGTTGATAAACATTACCATTGAAATCTACCTGATGACTTTAT